GCTTGAAATCCATCCAATCACAGTGCTCTGTGTCATTTTACACAGCGTGGGAAAGTTCTTTTGAATTTTCCCACGCTGTGTAAAATGACACAGAGCACCGGGATTGGATGGCTTGAAATCCATCCAATCACAGTGCTCTGTGTCATTTTACACAGCGTGGGAAAGTTCTTTAGAATTTTCCCACGCTGTGTAAAATGACAAAGAACACTCTGATTGGCTTAAACCCACCAATCAGAGTGTTCTTAGCCTAATTGCAGGGCGGGCAAGGCTTTATAAGCCTTCCCCCGCTCTGCGGAGTTCAGTCTGCGCGGAGCCCTCCATGGGTGAAGATGGATTATTTTTTTGCGCTCGGGTTTTTTTTTTTTCGTCGGGTTTTTTTTTTTGCGCTCGGGATTTTCATTTTATTTTCAATTCGACGGTTATGATGGTTTTTTAGTTGGCCTTTTTTGGGGCTGAAAAAAGAAGATTTGAGAAAAAAGAAGACGTCGAATGGTAAGTTTAATTTTATTTTACAGGTTAGTTATTTTATCCCCCCCTCACTATTTTTTAGGGTGAGGGGGGTAGGTAGGGACTTGTTTTTTTTTGGGTGGGGGGTGGGTGACTAGGGGCTTGGGGACCCCTAGTCACCTTGGGGGGGGTAATTGACTTAGGGCCCCCACCCGCCGCCCAGGGGTGGGGGCCGGGGGGGGCAGTAGGTCCCCCCCATTCTCATTATGGCCCCCACCCGCCGCCCAGGGGTGGGGGCCGGGGGGGGCAGTAGGTCCCTCCCCATTCTCATTATGGCCCCCACCCGCCGCCCAGGGGTGGGGGCCGGGGGGGGGCAGTAGGTCCCCCCCCCTAATTCTCACTATGGCCCCCACCCGCCGCCCAGGGGTGGGGGCCGGGGGGGGGCAGTAGGTCCCCCCCCTCATTATTGCCGCCGCCCAGGGGTGGGGGCCGGGGGGGGGGCAGTAGGTCCACCCCCCCTTATTCTCACTATGGCCCCCACCCGCCGCCCAGGGGTGGGGACGGGGGGGGGCAATAGGTCCCCCCCCCATTCTCCTTATGGCCCCCACCCGCCGCCCAGGGGTGGGGGCCGGGGGGGGGCAGTAGGTCATTTGGTCTCCCCCCCCTTATTTTATTTTAGGGCCCCCACCCGTCGTTTAGGGGTGGGGGCCAATAGTTTTTTTTACAGTGAGCAGCCACAGGCTGCTCACTGTTTACCAGACATGCCCCTACTCGCAGTATAGCGAGTAGGGGCATATTACTTACTAATATTAAGTAATTTTTACTTAGTATTAGTAAAGTTGGCTGAAAGACCAATTTAGGTCTTTCAGCCTTTTAGTAGATAACTCCCTGATACCGTGGGAATTAGGGAGTTATCTACTAAGCGGCTGCAAAATGCAGCCACAGCAGTGAATAGGATTGGAGTTTCATTCATTCGAATGAAATTCTGATCCGAATAAAGTGCCGAATTGCGTTCTAAAAGAAACGAACAGACTGTTCTCATTCAGTTAGAACGCAATTCGGCAGTTTTGTGGAAAGTGACAGGAAGCATTGTGGGAACACTGAGGAAAGCTAGGGATCATGGGAAAATTGCTCTGACCAGCGGAAATGAAGCACACTTTGCTCCTCCGCTGGTCAGAGCTGGTCAAGCGGAGGAATCCTCCATAAGGCAAAGAGTCCCTACTTTGTCTTATGATTTTAAAGAAAACTAAGAAGACAGGAAGAAAAGAATAACAGATCCTGAGAGGGGGGGAGAAGAGGAAGAGATTGAGGAAAGGTAAGTTCGGCATGACAGTGCCGCTTTAATTCACATTTGTTTATATACTCTAGACTGTTTTTGATCTCAACGGATTTTTACACCGGACTCTATATCTATCTAGTTAGTGATCTTTTCTGCTTTAGTTTTTTTTTTTCTCTTTTCAGAGTTTAGAATCTCCAGCAGCTAAGCGTGTATGTTTGTCCGTCTAAACCATGATTTTGGAGACTGCTGATATGAGCTTCACTCCAAATTATTTCCTTAGATTTTTGTGAAAAATATATATTTCCTTGTGTCGTTTGTCCACTCCCCCTACCCTGTGTTCATATATCTATGCACATATATCTATGTCTGAGTTAGACAGTTACATTCAATCTATTTATTGTGCTTTTTCCTTTTTGAAATAAATAAAGTATCCTCGTGCTTTTTATCTAATTAACAGTATAGGGACAGATTCTCTTCCTTCCTCTCCTTTTTTTGTATCTTATTACCTTAGGGTTACCCCCTTATCTGTTCCCTGGATTTTTGGATAATCTCTCAGGCCGTCCCCTCTTTTGCATTGTGTGTCCTAACATGCTATATGTCTGTCTGCCATTACAGTCTCCCATTTGGTCGCCTAGGGGAGTGTCCACCAAGTGGGAGACCTGCATAAATACGGGCGGGTAGCCCAGTAAACCCAGTTCTTGTTTTACCCTCAATGCGGAGCTTGGTCTCGTTATTGGGGGGATTTACTACATACAGATAGCGACTGATTGATGGAAGTGTAAGCCGCTTGGAGGATATATTGATTTGGCTGTTAGCAGCGATTCGTGGGTTTACCGTTCGGGAGTTGGAGCATCCGTACGGGTCCCGTTCGGGAGGTTGGCGCATTCCCCTGCTTGCAGTTTGTACGATTGGAGTCCGTACGAATGAAGTTTGCGTTATTGCGAGAGGGGAGGATTAACTAAACGGCAGTTTTGACTATTTGATGCTGAGGGTGCCGTTACAGTAAAGGAGGAGACTATATTTAAAAGAAGAAAAACTACCACAACAAGAGGACATAGTCTTAAATTAGAGGGGCAAAGGTTTAAAAATAATATCAGGAAGTATTACTTTACTGATAGGGTAGTGAATGCATGGGATAGCCTTCCAGCTGAAGTGGTAGAGGTTAACACAGTAAAGGAGTTTAAGCATGCATGGGATAGGCATAAGGCTATCCTAGCTATAAGATAAGGCCAATGAAAAAAATGAAAGTATTTAGAAAATTGGGCAGACTATATAGCCCGAATGGTTCTTATCTGCCATCACATGTTTCTATGATGAGTCTATGTTTCATTTGGGATATAAAAACAAAAAGTTTCCCGCACTCTCTGCACAAAGAAGATGCTTAGCTGGGTCAGAGGCAAGCTAATGCTTGGTCACTAGGGGAAGAATAACGATGCTTCAGATACTCACGATGTCTGAATAAGGCAGTTTTAATGAAGAACATAGCAATGTTTGACCTAAAGCTTGATAAAGACTTTAGTCGAGGTTGAAATATTGCTGTGTTCTTCCAATAAAAATCTGCCTTATTCACACATCTTGAGTGCCTGGACCATCTTGTTTCTTCTATGTCTCATTTAGGTTCATAATAGCAGTTTGACTGTTCCCACAATGGCCTACCATTTTTCAGAGTAGACACTCCAGGTCATCTTAAATGCCATATATTGTGCTTTAACATGCTGCCATTTTTTTACCATTTCATGTCGCAGTTTGTGTTAAAACATTTTTTTTCATTTTTGTACATACACATTGCATTTTCTTCTAGGCATTTTGCCAATCTGATATATGCCATCATGATCAATTACCCAAATTACGTTCAGCACAATCTTATGCTCAACAAAATCAGTCAAGAAGGATTTTCCCCCTTTTTGTGGCACAATTGGCCATTGCTTCAAATAGTTTTTTTCCTGTATTCTTTTTGGTCAACAGCATAAAATGATGCGTTTTAAAGATTGAACTCAAAGGACTTGAATCTTAATTTTTAATTTTCATCCTTGATTACTATACAATGTGTTTTACCAGAAAGAATGCCTTTACTTTGAAGCATATCCAAAAAAGCAGAAAAAAATGGTTCAAGCTTATTGTGAGCCATATTGAGCAAAGGATGCATTTAAAATCCTTTTTTTCAAAGCCAATGGCTATGTGAAGTGGAGGTCACATACAAATACAAACACAAAGATAAAGCACCTCTCTTACAGCAGCAGTAGCTTAGTATCCAAGTGAAGGTCACATGCCAACAATTCACATTTACTGATAATGATGAAAGTGCTAAAGATGGGAGCAAATTATAACACTTTCACTTTTATATTCAGATATTGACTGACAAAAGCAGTAGTAACATCTCTGACTTAGAACCAAGAAATCCAGGTTCAAATCACGGTCAGGCCACCTCATGGGTAAGTATCCTTTGGCAAGAGACCAAAGGACTGCCTTCCCCCCCCCCCTTCCCTAATTGGTAGCTGTTTGGAGACGCTTACTTGAGGGCATCTAGGCATGTAAGAAAATGGGACTCGTTTAAAATCTACTGTTTCCTCAGGTTTTACACATAACTAGTGTCCTTTAAGAAGAAATTTCTACTGAGTTGCCATTCGGTTATCAGAGTGAGCTGCCCATGAGTAGAAGCATGCTATCGGCCTATTCTATTCAGCTGACATCTTTGATATCACCATAGGGGTTACAGTGCCCACAGGAGAGAGAGGCAGGAGGAAATATTGGAAGTAACACAGAGAGAGCACAGCAGCAGCTCCTGGCCCCTGCCAAATTTAAGTGTATAATTTTTATCTTTTTCCCTCCCCTAATAACCCCAGTGACTGCATGAGGGCTGATTAAGAAATGGTATTTGCTCAAATATATTATATATACTGTGTATATATAAAGCCCAGAGGTGACTAGGGGCCGGAGACATTTCTGACACAGAGCACTGTGCTGCCTGTCAATAATAGTTTTATTAACTCTTATTGCACATACCCACCCTCTTATTTAAAGTTCTCAGTCACTCTACAGCTGAGACACTCATGCTGTTGAAAGTTGAAAAGTTGCGAATCTTCAAACTGCAGGAGAGCCGTCATTGTGTTTGCTACACACAGTCAAGAGAAAACACGAAGGATCATTTGAGTGGTTTATTACAGAAAATACACTTGTCAACTCCAAAGGAGAGTTTACCCAGAATTAAACAATTACTTGGTACATAATCTAATATATGTTACAAAACAAAATATATTCTTGCATACTTGAATGTAAAACAAACATGTTTACAAAAAAGTAAAATCTCATATCACACTCTTATTCATACTCTTAACATATGGATGATAAGCTACAGGCCCACTGATTAAACACTTTGGTTACGGCATCATCGATCCTTTCATCATACATCCTGTATTTACACTCACACAGACACTAGAATTCACACACATGGTTAGAAAAGAAAAATTACTTTTCAGCAGACTCTGCACATTCAGTATAACTATTTTCACTTCTACCATTGGCCCAGTAGTCCATAATCCTTTCACATTGCCAACAGGGGCAAAAAAACAGGCATGTGCCCTTTGTTATGTTGCTGTGCATACACAGCTTTTAGATCACATAATTCATTCTTATTCCGTGACTTAGAATGCAGACATTTCACTGGACTTCACATTACACCAGGGAGAATATATATCAGGGAGGTGGTAGAGAATAACTCATTGGAATGTTATAGAGAAAGCACAGGAACAATTCAAATTTCATGGAAAAAATGTTAGTTATCCCAGAGAATCACTTAATATAGGAAGCCCAAAGAGGTGTAAGAAGATGACTGTACGTGAATTAATAATCATATAAAATATCAGGATGAAATCACTTGTATGAGGTAATGAGAACACGTTGCTCATCTGTTGAAGCCAGGATCTTGGAGAAGTGAAGAGGGATGGATTGGATATGTTTGATGAGAGGTAGGATCTAGAACCAGAATGAAGATTGTGATATATTAAAAATAAAACAGTAGGGGAAATACAAATCATAGCATTACTGGAGAGAAAATCAGAGGTCTCTGGATATTTTGATGTTAATTTACCAGATCATTTTATTTGGGGTTATTTGCCAAGTTATTAATCAAAATTAGAAAAATATGGCTCGCTTTTGCAGAACGCTGGATGCAATTTGGTGTTTACTAAATATCCTAATTCCTATAATTTGTAAAAAAAAAAAAAAAAACATGCAAGCTAGTCTCCAAGTATGCCCTCAGACTGCCTTTAGTGAATATTCCAATTGTCATTCTGTGTCAAAATAGAATTTGCTGCAGTTTTATGCCAGCCAAAGTCATTTTGAAGTTGATAGGACTGTGTAAACGGAAACTAAGATAGAAAGACACATTTACCAACTTCTGATTTAACAGAAACTAGGCACTCTGCAGAGAAGAAGAATGACCTACTCCTTTAGAATTACAAACAAATTCAAAATGTGCTCAAATATGTATTCCTACCTCTATGATACCCAAGGCACTGTTTACGTGATCAGGCCCTCACTGCTAGAATTAAAGAAGGTTCTTTACTTTCAATTTTTCAACTAGTATTTTTTTTTTTTAATTTTATAACTGCACAAATAAGTTGCCACAATTACACTGTAATAGACTGTTTCTGAAAGGAACACTATATGGTCAAGAACACATGACTGCTGACCCATCTCCCACCGTTGCCCCCCAATAATGCAATGGACACCTTTTTAAGTGGATAAGGGCAACGACCACAGCTTTATTAACCATTACATAACTTTATAAAACCTTTCAGCTGTTGGGTGAGAGCCCAACAGACAGTTCTCCATTGCATTTTCCAAGAGCCCAGCACAGCCGTCAATAGCCATCAGCCCTGTGCGAACTGTCGTCTCCCCAGGTGCCACTTCTCCATACTTCTTCCTTTAACTGCGCTGTCCAGGGAACCCGCCACCACGATGCCGCCCTATCGCGTACTATGCTCCCCGGCATGGCGCCCCCCACCGACAGTGTAGACTCTATACCACACTGTAGCCCAACATTAAAAATGTCCAGCCCTATTGGCTTTAAATGCACCCCATCTCTCCTCATAACGTTGGAGTTATCTCCTTCCAGCTCATGGTGTCTAACTACCAAGCCAACGAGACTTCTGACAAATCGGGATATGGTCATATTGACTTTTCGCCTGCGTGCTCTAAGGCCTTACCATTACCACTTACTCTCCAAACCGGTCGAGGGACTATTTCCAACCAAATTAGCGTGAGGTCTCAAAACAGAGTGCTATATCATGTCTCATAGCATTAATGAGATCGACTGACCACCGTCGGCCGCTGTCATTCCCTCTCACATGCAGTACAAGGATCACTGGACCCGAAACGCAGCGGCTGAGCATTGTGCATTCTGAATAAAGCTGGTCCCAACACAACCCTCTCAACCCCCGCCAACGCACCCTAACTGTGTGATACGGGAAGCCCAAATGTGCGGCTATTTGCTCTATCCTACGCCCTCTTTGCAGACCAGTATATATAAGAATGGCCCACAAGCCAAACATAATGAGTAACTCCTACTACAAAACAAACACGTGTTAGACTGGTAACATACCCATACAGCACATTACAGCAAATGCGGACCACATAAAGCTGAAAACGCCGCAATTCCCAGCACCCTAGCCATTTGAAAACGCTTCCGTCGGAAACCCCAGCAAACTAGCCTGTGTAGCTGCACCTATCCTAAAAGAATGTAAAGAATATGGCCTACGGTCACCACCTGTCCAGCTTATACATTTGTGAAGGAGACTGGAAAATTGGTAATGGGTTAAGGGCAAGCCGTTTTGATGCACCAACAATGAACCTTCCTAACCACCACGGGCCACCAGATACTCCCGAAGCAGAAGACCTGGACAGGAAGGCCCTCCTTTAACGCCAGTACAAACCTGAGCGCCCCTACCTGCCTGATCTGTCTTCGAACGGTGGATACTCAACAAAACCCCTTGGGCGGATAACGAAACATCCGAGAGAAGCAACCCAGCTGGGTTATTGGCCCTCGGCGCCACCAGTTCATCTATACGTAGGGTACCGAAGAAGCAAAGAGAGAAAGTCAACCTAAATAGTAGCACCTCGAAGTCCGTAACACAAACCTGTGGCAGAAACTCTAGCAACTGGATCAGGATAGCCCAGAGATGGGATGACGTCTGTCAGGACTGCGACCCTTCTTCCATCCCTACAATGCCCGTGTAATGCAAAAGGCCCTGGTAATGTCTGACCAGCATAGAAAACAGAAAAGAAAGGAGAAAGCAGACAAAGACCGTTCGGCCACTGCCGCGGACTTACCTTCAGCACATAAAGATTCCAGGAATGCAAGCATCATAGACAATCTACCTGCCTCTGAGGAAACCTAGTGCCCACCAACGAAACCAAACCGCACTACATGCCTTCCACGTAGCCTGTGACAAGGATCCCCATACCAATCGCCTCAGACGTCTGAAACAAGGTCCAAGAAGTAATCCAGGCAGGGGGTTCCTGTCTGCACCGCCTCCGGAGCCGCCTCCCGAAAACGGTCCCACTGAAACCGAGAACGAGAGTCAGCAATGACATTGTCCACACCCGGAACGTGACGAGCAACAATCCAAACATTACATGATAGGCTAAGAAGCACTAAGCGTCTGAGCAGTGCCAAGACTGGAGGAGACCCAGACGTCGGCTGATTGATCACATGAACCACACCCATGTTGTCCATGTGAACAATCGCCTCCCTGTTCGCAAGGTTCAAACCCCACAATTCAACCACAATGGAGAACAACTCCAAGAATGTAAGGTTACCCATCAGCTCAGATCTGCGCCACTCAGAGGGCCATGCCGCCGCACACCAATGTCCTTAAAAATACGCGCTGGTGATTGCTACTATTACAAACTAAACATCACTAAAACACAGGCAATGGGAATTGAAATCCCAAATAAGACGCTCTCCACACTAAAAGCAACCTTTCCTGTTGCTCCACTACCTGACTTTCCTTGGAGTGGCGTTCACAGCGTCCAACCGCTCACTATTTAAAACCAATTACACCAAGTTTCTCCAAGACATTAAAAATAATTTGCTAGGGTGGGGGAAATTCCTCTCCTGGTTGGGCAGAATAGCGGCCATAAAAATGATAATATTACCGAAACTCCAATATTTATTCCGGATGCTTCCAATCAAACCTCCCCAAACTTTTTTAAAAGAGGCACAGAAAATAATAAACACATTCGCGTGTCAGGGGACAAGACCTAGAGTGGCAGCAACCACACTATATAAGCCCCTTTCCATGGGGAGCATGGGTCTCCCAAATCTGACAGCTTATTATCAGCCGACCATGATCTGCCCAATTATCTCAGCAGCCGCACAGAAGAGTCAACCGCCCTGCCCTGGGCACGCATAGAGGCACACTACACAGGAGGCCACTCCCTGCCCTCATTGGCCTGGACACCGAAAGCTGTGCGCCAAACATACCCCAGAATTTTACTTACTACAGCCCTTACACTTCAACACTGGGACAGATACCACATTAAGAAAAAACAAACCACAAGTCCATCGGTAGCAATGCCGATTGAGACACTCTCTTCCTGGATACCGGATTTTAATATCAAGACATGGAATAACATCCATATATCACCTACTTCATGAAGGCACGCTTAAAAACTTTACACTATTAAAAACACAGTATAACCTATCTAACATTGCACAATTCTCATACATGCAGATTAAATCATGGTTCCACAAACATTTCACAGAGGACCACACTCTCGTACATAGAAAACACCTGACGGACGAGGAAATATGCCTAAAACAAAACCCCCTAAGAAACTCATCTCATATATTCGGAAGCGCATAACAACCAGCCTGACGAGCTCAACCCATACATACAAAAATGGGAAATAGATTTAAAACTGGAATTCACTGAACATCAGAAGAGAATGATCCTCAGGGCTCATAAACACCTTACCCTACTAGCTCTCATATAGAGCTATCTAGAAAAATACTATATGGTGGTACATGGTTCTCACCAGGCTGAAACACCTAGATCCCAGCAAGTCAGACTCCTGCTGGAGGTGTAGGGTGCACACAGGATCAATGCTACACATATGGTGGTCGTGCCCACACTTAGCCCAGTACTGGTCCGATACGGCTCAGCTAATTCGCTCAAGTATGGGAGTAGACCTACTAGACACACCAGAAACCTTTACATACTAGTACTCCCGGAAAAAACCTCCAAACACCTACAGTATCTAATGTACCATATCATAATAGCAGCATTAACCACAATTAGCCAACACTGGCTACAAATCAAACCCCCCCCCCACAACTCAGGAATGCATTGCCCAAATTGACACAACAAAATGCTATGAAATAATGGCACTACCATCCTCAAAATTCTGGGTGGAAGCATGGGAGAGATGGGATCAGCGCTTGGAAGGGAGTACCGTCCAACGACTCATCTCCGGAATCAGTCTCCCTTAAGTTCGGGTGAGCCCTCGGGGGACCGACTCAAACAGCTATGTCCAGCCCTCGTAATAACAAGGTCTCGGGAGGGGCATGGGACGAAAATTCTATGTCTTGTACAGATGGCATGCATCAGACATAGATACCTGGTGCCCACCAATTGCTTAATTAGCAGCACGTACTCAGCCTTGACATAGCAAACACCCGTAACTGAATAGTCTAGACTCGCATCCAAGTGGCATCAGTAATCAGGTCCAAGTCGCTGTTAGACACCGCCGGGTGCAGCCTGCATAACTGTCCATTATACGCACTCAAGAAGGCACTCCACACCTGTAGATCCTCCTTATACCGTCTAGTAATGCATATAAAGTGAAAATCCTGCTTAACCCCGACCGTGGTGAGGGACAATCACTGACAGAATGCTCTACCCATGGAAGTACCCAACAGGCAAAGTCCAAACACCCCAACAGCGACTGTAATTGCCGTAGTTGAACCGTTTACCAGGTCAACCATCCTAAGTAGGTAATTTATCTCAATACCCGGATATGTAAACCTATCCACCGGGACCCCAAACTGAGCCGAAACCCGCTGAAAGGCCTTTAATAACTGAAAGCAGTCCACTGACTCACGCGGGCTGACGAACAGAAAATAGTCCAGGTAGTGGGTCAAGGATGACAGACCTGCTACCTGCGAAACCACCCACTCCATAAAAGTTGGAAACTTTTCAAAAAAAGGAACAAGAAATGACACAACCCATGGGCAAACACATGTCAAATAAATAACTGCCCCGGAACTGAGAGCCCAGCAGATGGAAATAGTCCGGGTGAACTGGGAGCGAGCGAAACGCGGATTCAATGTCCGACTTCGCAAGAAGGACCCCCGATCCCGCTTCCTGAACCAAGTCCAACACTCTGTCAAAGGAGGCATAACAGACTCTCGAAACCTCCTTATCAATTTCATCATTCACCGACCCGCCCGAAGGGTATCACAGGTGGTGAACGGAATGAGATGAAAAACCCCGGGCACGTTCTTGGGCACCAATCCTAGGGGGGATACCCATAAGTTGGGATGGGGAGATCATTGAACGGGCCCGCCATGCGCCCCAAACGAAGTTCCTTGTTCAATTTCTTAGCCAGGATATCCTCTTGTCCCACAACCGAATGCAAATTCGCTGCAAAGAACGGCAACTCAGAACGAACAAAGGGAATCCAAAATCCGGAAGAAAACCTCTCAAGTAAAATCTCTGCATCACGTCCTCTAGGGTACCGCTCGAGTCACGGGCGCATCTTAGTGACCTTCTCCAGCATCCTTGGGTCAAGGAACGTCGTCCTTACTGGACCTGGCACCAGCCTTACCTTTTTTAAGCATCGAACGGTCAGATGTGCTCCACCACAATGGGAGCACTCGTGCCGGAATCTGCAGGAGCCATACCATCTGCAGTGGCTCTCGTTAAAGAGACAACAAACTCTTTTTCGCTGTGCTGTTGACGCACCAGTCTGGGCGCCGGCGTTCCTGGAAAGGTTTCCTGGATGGGCTACTAGGTGTCATCAGCACCCTCTCCTGCACCCTGAAGTTCAAGTCTCGTCTAGCCGACATCTTCTGACAAAACTGCTGGTCATAACGGAATCAGCTTTGTCCCCCGTATACCTTGTATGCTCCCCAAATCAAATACAGATAGCCAAACAAAGCCGGTGCTTTGTCTGGAAAACTGCCTGAAAAGATGCTGGCAAAAACTGCAAATGCTTGCAGCCAGTTGCCAAAAGTCCGTGGTAGCTGCTTACCCTTCTCTTCATCTGTCAAGTCCCCTTGCCGCTGTCTATCCACAGATCCAGCGGCACCAAGGACAGTGAGTCCACATATTCACCCTGAACTATCTTGTCCCTGACGTCCCTGGGGACGTGCAACCCCAAGGGAGACAGCTCACAACCAGGCATACTAGGACGCGAAAACCCAGCTGCACGATCCCTACCTACTGTGACCCGTGCGGAGCCCTCACCAGAATTAGAACCTAGAGAATGGAGTCTCGCCAGTAAAGCCTTTAATAAACAGGTTACCTCCCCCACCCCCTGACTAGCGTGCCCTAAAGACTCCCCCAGACGTGGGGAAGCTACCAATTGCAAGCATGCAGGTGGTGGAAAAATCTCCTCCTCGTCCTCCTCAGATCCGGATTGTGGACTAGTCTGGTTCCTTTCTTGGAGGGAACCTGCGGCCGCCTGATTAATCAGCCCGCGGCCCGCTGCGGTTATTTCCGGGTTGCTCTGTGATCCTGTGCCTCTCTTCTGCCATGGCCTGTGAAGTCTGCCCGAACGCGGCGTGTGTTCTACTGACTTCTGGCATTGCGTGCACGTTGTGTCACCTTCCCCTGCGCCGAAAGAGAAGAACGCAGACGGGCGATCTTCCGGCCGGGTTCCCGCCATGCTGATCACCGCCATCTTGGTCTACGGCTCGGGCCCGCACCTGTGCGGCCCTCCCGGACTGCCTCCACCTTCAGGTCACCGACCTTTGAGTCGCTTCCTGCCCAGTTACAATGGTCGTGTTCTCCTACCGCTGCCTTCTCCGTCGGCCCACAGGACTAGGGGACAAACGCGACCGAGGCCTGGAACTCCTGGCCCTCAGTCCGCTCTCCGCTGCTCCGACGCTCTCCAACCGATCTCTGGTCGTCCCAACCACCTTCTGCACCCCCGACAAAATTTGCTCCAGGGACCCTTGTCGATGAGCGGCCTGGTAAGCTCGCAGCAGCGTGATAAGCGAATCCATGCATAATTCCAGTGGTGGTCTGTACAGCCCGTCAGAAGCTCAAAGGTGACTCTATTCTTTTCTTTCTTTTAGGCCCACGAGACAGAACAGGACTCTCCAGTCAGGGGGGAAAAGCACAATTTCAGTCAGGGTCCCTCAACTGCTTCTGCTGACTGGTAGGTCCCCTCCTCTCTGCTCCCTATAAAACCCCTCCATATCTTGAAACATTGTTGCACTTTTTAAACCAGCCCATCAGCCATGGGCAGCAGTCATGCTCCCCCTTCCTTATTTGTCCAGGGGGAAACTAACATGTAATCATGATCCTACAGTGTTAAAAACACTATCTAGCCCTGCTACCCCACCCTCCCCTCCCCCTTACCACTCTAAATATAAGTGAAATCTTACTTTTATTCCAGTCTGATGGTGCTGGCTCTGCTCCTGATCTGCCTTCCTGGCAGACATCATCAGATCCCATAGGAAAGCATTGGATTGGCTGACATTGCCAAGGAGGTGGCAGAGCCAAACACTGCCCTGGCCAATCAGCATCTCCTCATTCAATCAATGCATCTCTATGAGGAAAGTTCGGTGTCTCCATGCAGAGTGTAGAGACACTGAATGTCGGTGCTGCACAGTGTGAGGAATGGACAATTGAGGTGTCCCTAGGTTGTAATGTAAACACTGCCTTTTCTCTGAAAAGACAGTGTTTACAACACAATGCCTGCAGGGACTGACTATACTCACAGAATAACTACATTAAGCTTTAGTTCTTCTGGTGACTATAATGTCCTTTTAAATATAATATTTTCATTGAACATTTATGGAAAAAAACATTTCCACAGGCAGTTCATTTGTGTAATCTAATTTTGTTACAGTTCTGCTAGATTGGTGCATGCCTCCTAATATGTCAGAGGATTATGTATGTAGCCCAAGCCTAGAGTAAGGTAAGAAAGTAAGATGGAGAAAAGCATGAGTAAGAACAGTAAAGTTTATACAACCATGACTTACCACTCTTCTGTCACTGGAAAGATGGTCATTTGCTACCGATATCCTTAAAGGGACACTATAGTCACCTGAACAACTTTAGCTTAATGAAGCAGTTTTGGTGTATAGAACATGCCCCTGCAGCCTCACTGCTCAATCCTCTGCCATTTAGGAGTTAAATCCCTTTGTTTATGAACCCTAGTCACACCTCCTGCATGTGACTTGCACAGCCTTCCATAAACACTTCCTGTAAAGAGAGCCCTATTTAGGCTTTCTTTATTGCAAGTTCTGTTTAATTAAGATTTTCCTATCCCCTGCTATATTAATAGCTTGCTAGACCCTGAAAATTGTGATTAAAGTTCAATTTAGAGATTGAGATACAATTATTTAAGGTAAATTACATCTGTTTGAAAGTGAAACCAGTTTTTTTTTCATGCAGGCTCTGTCAGTCATAGCCGGGGAGGTGTGGCTAGGGCTGCATAAACAGAAACAAAGTGATTTAACTCCTAAATGACAGTGAATTGAGCAGTGAAATTGCAGGGGAATGATCTATACACTAAAACTGCTTTATTTAGCTAAAGTTAATTTAGGTGACTATAGTGTTCCTTTAATTAACCCTTTTAACTCATTCAGATGGGGAAAGAAAAATACAGAAGAAAATAAACAAAAAGGAAAATTACTGGAATCATGAGAGGGCTAAAAATGTCTGGTTTTAGGTGAAAAGCGAGGGGCATCAGGACAAGGATGTGAAACTATAGTAGGCACAAAAATAGTGTGTTAGAAAAAATAATTTCACAAATGGAAAAATCACCTTCATCTCCAACTGCTTCAACCTGTTCTCAGTCCTGTTTGGGAAAAATAGCAAAATTAGTATACAGTCTGTATTGGGACATTGTCCTTACTCCATGCCTTTAACCAGTAATCCCATACTGTCTAAACTTCCAATATGCTATTGAGCCATGCGTCATGTTCAGTTTCTACAATCAGGCCATGCACTATTGATGCACAAACATTTTATTGCAGGATACTTATCAGATATCTGCCATTTTAATTTAAGGGACTGACCGTTTTTGAATGTATTATTACATATATCTCATTACATAACAGTTATATAGTACCACAGCTGCCATCAGTTTACTGACATCCCTGTACCGGTGTTTGTGGTTTTGTGAATAGGGCTGTGCACAAATGCTTATCTAAGCTGTCAACAGGGCTCATACCCTACAACAAGCATTTCAAACTTGCAACCCATGGGCCGCATGTGGCCCACAAGGAATATATTTGCGGCCCACCTGCCCTGGGGATGCTTTGTGCTGTGGCTGTGACGAGCCACAAGAGAGGAAAGATCTTTCCTGTCTGTTTCTTGTCTTCCCTCCCACGGCCACGAGAGGGCAAAGTGTCTGTCTGTCCGCAGAGCAGGCCAGCCACTCCCCCTTCCCTCCTGCTTGCAGTGCCAGAGGAGTGTGTGGCCTGCTTGCAGAGAAGAGCAGGGCTGGACCTGGAGGATGGGCGGCTCACCTTATGGTAGGATAAGAGGGGCTTGGGAGATCTTCCTGTGTAGTGTGTTAAATTGGGGAAGGTGGGGGTACTGTATTAATTTGAGAGAGGGAGGGGGCCAGTGTATTAAATTGGGGATGGGGGGTAGTGTATTGGTGAGGGAGGGGTAGTGTATTAGAATTGAGGGAGGGGGCAAATGTATTAAATTGAGGGAGGCAGGGAGCCAGTGTATTAGAGTGGTGGGAGGGGGAGTGTATTAATTTGAGGGAGGGATGGGGACAGTGTATTAAATTGGGGGAGGCAGGGGGTATTAGAGTTGTGGGGGGCAGAGAATTAATTTGCGGGAGGGAGGGGGCACTGTATTAATTGGGGGGAGGCAGTGGCGTACATACCAGGGTCGCAGGGGTCGCGGCTGCGACCGGGCCCGGCCCACCAGGGGGCCGGCCGCCTCTGCGACCCGGTATGTACCCACAGGGCCAGCCTCTTCTCCTGGGGGGCCTCAGGCCCCCCCCGAGGCTGGCCCTGCTGACCCCAGCGGGCGGGCGGGCTGTCTGGGCGGCTGGTGCGCGAGGTCATCTTCCGGCACCAGCATCCCTACGCGGCGCGCGAGGGAGCTGAAGAGGAAGCACACAGGGGAAAGTGCTCCCTCGCGCACCGGCCGCCCAGACAGCCCGCCCACCCAGTGACCTGCCGCCCAGGAGCCCAGCAGCACCACTGGACCCCAGGGAATCCCCCCAGCACTCCAAAAGGTAAGGAGGCTGGGGGGATTAAATTTAAAAAAAAAAATGTGTGTGTGTT